ATTCGTTTTTCACCTGTTCCAAGGTGTGCTGTTATTTGCCCTCACCCGAAGAGCCCGGGGGCGGGGTGTGAAGCTGCGATGAAACTTTGGCCCCCTTTCTAAAGGGAATCGGTGCCGTTTTATCGCGAACGCTTACCCTTTGCAAACAGCGCACGCACGGGACAACAGGGGCGTAGCTTCCAATTGATCGACATGTGGTGCGGGCTATAGAGAGAACATGCAAATAGCGTGTATGCACACCTACCTGCCGAGAGAGGAAGAAGGGAAAACTAGGGCTGTATACATGAACGCAGAATGCTCGCTTGAGTTCCTCTGTTTGTCGAGCGCCGTCACGATTGGCAAACAAAATTCACGAAGAACTGACTCGCGGGCTGGCACCTATGTGGCGTGTCGAGGGAACTTCGCGATGTGTATCGGTCCTCGCATCGTATGCTAACCACAACGAACGAGCGTGTGTGCTCGGGCGCGATTCGAAGGTTATCGCACGAGCATCGATTAACGTCCAGGGGGGGGCCAAGCGGCACGTTCCAAATCTGTGAAAATCAAGATTGCGACTTTTTTTTCCTCACTCTTCAGCTGCCCCATGCTACAACAATTGGCACTACAACGAACCCCGCGCACTTTCTCTCTATTGTGAGCCATCAACTCGTTGCGATCAGGTGCATTCTTAGTGAGCCATTGTCTTCGCGGGTGAGATCAAAGTTGCTGGGAAAGATGTCTTCAAAGCTGGTGCTTGGCATTGCTTTGTTTATTCAGCTTTCTAAGACGACGGTAGTGATCGCAGCCAAATAAACAGCAAAAACAGTCAGTGAAGCTTGCATCATATAACTCTCTCCTCTAAAGAGTATTCTGGAACGTGGCACGGTTGTACATATGCTTATACATTATAGACAAGCACTTCGCCCTTTCGATACTTGTGCGCACTCTAATGAGTGAGTGCACGTGGGCGGCCGTCACCACCTTTAACTCGAACGCTCCGATGCGTGGGCCTCGATTCGCTTGGACTGGTCAGCGCCGCCAAGCGTTGAAAATGATACGCTTGCTGCAGTTAACGACAGATGTCGCATGCGTCGGTTTGACTAGTAGATCTCCATTTCCAGTGCGCCTGACCAGCGAATCAAATGCGCTTCTTTCGCATACCGTTTTCGCCACGTTTCGTTCGTGGCTATGTTATCACACGCGCCCATCAGGCTCCTCGTTGTTGGTCTCAACTTGGTGGTGGTCCCATGCTAGCGGCAAGTTATGTAACGGTCACGAGAACGTAGCTTGCCGCAGGCAGCGACCGAACCCCAGCCACATTCGGATTGGAAAGTTACAGGCTCAATTCCCGCGGACGATCATTTATCTTTTCGTACACTCTTCACATTTATATCGTAATTTGTAGAAATAACAGCAGCCATAGTTCCATTATTAAACTTCTCAGCGCAAGTACTTCAGACAACTAACACAAGAGACGAGTACGACCGCCGTTAGTTGTTGGAAGTTCTTGCGCTGAGAAGTTTAGTAATGGATTACCAACTATAGCCCAATCCCACACTTTACCCCATAGTTTCCTTGGCATTATTGTATTTTGTCTTGAAAATTACCACCGTGTAATCAGCAGTCAAACGCGCTAGAAATTCAACACCGATAGGCAACTTTTACCAGTTTTCAAAACGTGCTTGCTATCATTTTTTCTCCGAGTTACTTGACGCGTGCAACTATAAATAGGCGACACAAGGTTCGCATACAAGGGCGGACAAAAGCCAATGCAGAAATCAACTTGTGGATGAATGAAACTTGGCAGGCATTTAGAGCCCGTCTCCCTTCAATGTAACCTACTGCCACAGGTGCTTCAAACACCTGTCACATACTGTTACTTTTCTTTTATACGCTGGAGGCGCAGCCAAGCTCCGCGGGACCAGAGTGCTTTTAGGATGCACTGGAAGACCGAAAGTGCTCTAGCTTCAGTAATTTGCAAGAAGCCCTCCCATTGCAAAAAAAAAAAAAAACAAGGCTTCATTTGTATTTGTGTTTCGACACGCAGGGCACGTTTAATCATATGCGCACGCAGTTACGTCGACATGCGTCCCTATTTTTAAGCGAGGCTTTTATCGCTCAGAGATTTTGCATATTCGCATTACTGGTTCTAAAATGTTCATACATACCCATAGTCGATTATACAACCAGGGACGGATCCAGCCACTTATTTCAATGTTGTTTTACGAATTATGGTAAAAATGTGAACACTTTCAATGTTCGCGATGGTTTACATATCTTGACTTATTTACTTTGGAGTGGTAGCTACAGCTAGGCAAGGCCACCTTATTGTACATACACTGGTTGGCAGATTTAATAGATGAAGTTACGCCGCAGGTGCTAAAGAAAACTGAAAGACTGTGCAAGACCGATAGCTTTATCCCACCAGATATGCTGGATCACAGTGCTTTATATTGCGCAACAGAAACATTTTACAGTAATACTTCACAGTTACTTTCACAGTACTATGGCCATTCTTAAACCGTCTCTCAACTTAGACAGCTTTGAAAAACAGGTAACGTAGTCTCTCGGCCCATCCTAGTGGCCACACTTGTACGCAACAACCATAATGCGAGATGTGAGCAAACTTGTGCAACCTACAATACAATCTACATTAAAAGTGCAGACAAATAGCATACTTCAATTTTCTAGACTTACCCATATTTAATTCTTTAAAGCTCTAAAATGCAAGCACAATTTGCTACTTATTTCCACATGGTGTATTAACATCCCAATTTGCTCCCTGCTTGCATTTCACAGCACAAGAGCAGTCAAGTTCTACATGATATTGAAAAGCTTTCATGTTGCTAACACACCAACATTAATCCTTCTTTGTGCAGAAACCCAACAACCAAAATAATGGTGTGCTTGAAGGACCGCTCAAATATTGTAAAACTTCAGAATGTTACAATTACTACTGAGACTTCGTCCCCAGCATGGGCTTTTAACTTTCGGCACTCCCTCTGGTTAGTGGCACATGCAAGTAGCACAATGCTTACAGCTGTTTTATTGGCGGCTGCACTGTGTCTACGCAGTATGTAGAAACATGCAATAGCGCCTAGTCACTTTCTCTATAGGAGTGACATGACTGGTTTAACCAACTCTTTCGGCATGCATGCAAACAGACAGAATTTGGGCCAGTTCAGAACTTTGATGTTACCAATGTTAGCAAGTCATCAATAACTTGCTTTCAATGTCTTTGCATTACTGCTGCGGCCAGCAACTTAGCCCCCAGCCCCATCAACTGCAAACACCTTATGGCTAACATGACATATTGAAAAGCAATATGAGAAATTGCTAGAGAGTTGTAAGTTGTAATCAAGAGCAATCGTTTTCAGTGGCAAATCAAAAAGACATGAAAAAGAGGTCACCTATTTCAACTTTCTCTGCAGCATGAGAACATAGCACCAATATGAATCTACAAATGAAAAATACAACCACTACACACAACCAACAAGTTGAAGTTACCTTACGTAGTTGTGAAGAGAGCCCAGGTTCACTTTTTAGTTTTTCGTTACTTGGTATATTCACTGCAGCGTGTTGAACTCCACGGCAAGCCAGAAGCGTTCACACAAGCCAGTCGTCCTCAAAAAACACAAGAGGGCTTCCACTGCCTTGGGGCCTGTTTGTGGGCTTTCACTGCTTTGTGGGCTGTCTGTATGTATTTTGCTATAAGGTTGATTGTGCACTAACTTGCACAGCTTTCATTCTTTGCTCTCACTTTTGTCTTACAGCATCAGCAAATATACGGCAAACATTTTGCACCTGTCCTTAGTGTTGCTTCTACTCACAATCACAGACTTTGTCCTCAGAAACTCTACAAATGCAACTTATATACTACCAGAATAGTTCAATGTATTGACTGTTGGTTCCATGACAGATGATCATGTGTAAGTGCTAGCTTTTGGGAGTGCACAAAGCAAAATATCTGGAAGGAAAATCTATCTGGAAGGAATTTCATGCCTGTAACTTTAATCTAGGCAATGTTACTTCACTTAACTAGCTAAAGAATTTCACTTAAGAGTTTTTTTGTTATGTCACATCAATTGTCAACAGCGTTCCTATTGCGTGTATGATTAATTATTATGTATCTTGTTGTTAAATCTGTTTTTGCTACTATCTATTGTTGAATTCCAATGGCGGAGTCGGAGCAAGTTTTTCTGCTCCTTTCAGAGCAAGTGTGTTCCAATGACAGAGTGAGAGCGAGAGTCAAATGTTCCAATGAGAGAGCCGGAGTGGATTCAGAGCGGGAGTCCCTCCGTGGAGCAGGAAAAACTGCTCCGCCGAAATCGGTGGAGTGGACCGAAACTCAGCGTGACGCATTTCCTTTAACACGTTTGCCTGCTTGGGGGCGCGGCTGGCGCGGCGCGAGTTGTGTTGATAATGGCGGACGGCATGGACGGCTCGGCTACCTCGGCAAAGCGCGCGGCAATGCTTCTCCTACTCGATAGCGACAGCCCTGAGTCGGAAAGCTCAAGTACTGACACGAGTGATTCGTCGGACAGTGACAGCGACGCTAAAGCTTGCGCTTACGAGCGGGAATTTAACAAGTTGTTCCGCATTCCCGCGAAGAGGCCCAAAGTCGTCGGCTTCATCGAGGACGTCGTTCGGCAGTACTCGGACCACGAGGTAAAGAAATAGAAAAAAAGAAGGAAAGTATTATGCTCAAGGTTTAACACGTTGTGGTGTTTTCGTTTGTTTCTTTTCTTGAGCAGTTCCGCAGGCACATTAGGCTGGCTCGACCTGTGGCCGAAAAGTTGGTCGCGGAGTTTGCTGTCTCGACAATGTGCCCTTCGAGCACACACGGAGGAGTTCAAGCGAAATCCGCGGAAACGCATGTCTTGACATTTATCTGGCTAGTTACACCTCCCCACCTTCACCCCCCCCCCCCTTTCTTTTTCTTTGTACGATGCCTGCACAAGAACGCATTTGACTATGAGCCCGTTGCTTACAGTGCAGTGTGATCTGAAGCTGTTTTTTTTTTCTTTCGGGTACCTGTAATCCCCCTGCGCAGGTACGCGGCCAACAAAACCTGCATGCGAGACGTGGCAAGCCGTTTCGACATGTCAGAAAGCACCGTGTACAGAGTTCTTCAGAGAGTAGCACAGTTCCTGATGACGCTGGGACCATCGGTGATCAAGTTTCCCGCAGACTTGGAGAACCTCACTAGCAGTTTTGAGAAGGTTTGCTTTGATTTTATTTATTGTGAGGACCAATAATATTGGCCGGCCAAGCTATGTTGATCATATCACAAACACGAGTGCACATTTTATTGTGGGTTATTTCAAGCTCAATTTTACGCTGAGGTGGGACTTTAAGAAAAATGTGATAGGTCGTGATGATAATACCGAGCTTCATCCAGTTGTGTTCGAAACATTCAACTTATGTCTCTCCTGCAGTCACAGTCGATTCCTTGCATGCGGATGATGCTGCATGCTTTGTCATTTCTGTTCAGATGTACGATACAATATGGATGAGGTTTGGTTTTAAATTTAAGAATTAAATTGCAATTACGTACTTCAACTCCCTTTAGGAAAAAACATATGCAGGCTTTGTTTTGTTTTCTCTCCCATTTTACCATTGTAAAAAGAGAGGTGGATAGCAAGAAAACGTGTAGTATATGGTGTGGACAGCAATGTATGTTATCTTAAATAGTTCTTAAAGTTGAATTTTGGTTTGCATTTTGAATCTTTACCATAAAATATATTGTGCTGAGTCATGAAGCGTATGCTGTGATTGTGAGTTAATGGGCTTGATCACCAGTATTTCCTGTTAAAACTCCTCGCAAATGCTCATTTCTTGCTCAGGCATGGATGATATTGTCACGGGCTAAGTAGATGCCTGAGGATGACGACGACGAAGTGCTGAACGGGAACGTGCTCGGACTGCAGCAGCGTCGTACGCATTAGCTCGCCAGTATATTCGCCAGTACACATTTGTTCATCAGTGTATACTTTATTCCCCGTAACATCATTGGTGGAAGGTGCGGGGTACCACTCGCTATACAGCCCAACGAGCTGGATCTTCGCAGCGGACGGCGCATTGCAGCTACCACGATGACTGACCAGGCCACTCAATGTCAACAAGATCCGTCAGCCCCGCAGCCGATCGTTGTGGTGCAACCTCGTGACCCAGGTCCATTCAACGGCACAAGTGGCATAGACGTCGATGACTGGCTTGTTCAATATGAGCGCGTCAGCAGCAGCAACCATTGGGATCCGACGCTTATGCTGGCGAACATCATCTTCTACTTGCATGGCACGGCAAAACTCTGGTACGAGACACATCAAGAAGAGTTGACTAGCTGGGACGTCTGTAAGCAGAAATTGCGCTATCTATTTGGGAAACCCATCGGACGTCAAGTGGCCGCAAAGAAAGAGCTTGCGACTCGTGCCCAGACATCCACAGAGCCGTACATCGCGTACATCCAGGACGTGTTGGCTTTGTGCCGCAAAGTTGACAAGGACATGCTCGACGAGGACAAAGGCGGACACATCCTGAAAGGAATTGCGGATGACGCCTTCAATTTTCTCCTGTGCAAGGACTGCTCGACGGTGGAGTCGGTCATCGAAGCATGTCGTCGCTTCGAACAGGCAAAAAGTAGGCGCATAGTTCACCGATTTGACCGCCTTCCCAACACGGCGGCTACGTCCTCTTGCGAAGATTTGCCCACACTACACCAACCACCAGCGCCAGAAAACGTCACCAGAATAGTCCGTCGGGAACTCGAGGCCATGGCTCCCGCTATGTCTAGCGTCAGCGCGCCAGGACACAACCTCGGTGCTGTTTCAATGATACAGGCCGTGGTTCGCCAAGAGATCGCGAATATGGGCATTTCGCCACCTCATCAAAATGCCTCTGCTACTTCCAGCTCGGCTCCAGTCGTTGCGGCTGCCACTCCGAACCGCACGTTCGCGCCACGACGAAACCCAGCTGAATGGCGCACTCATGATGATCGGCCCATATGTTTTACGTGCCATCGGATAGGACACATCGCTCGCCATTGCCGCAGCCGGTGGACCTCATCACCTCGACCGAGCTTCTATGATTGGCGGCCTCGCTCTGAACGTGCACCTTATGCCCCGTCCTACCGTGCTGAGACAGGTGCAGAGTATAATCCAGAACGTCGGACCAGCCGCTCGCCATCGCCCGTGCGTCGTCAGTCCCGCTCGCCCCAACCCCGCCGTTCTCGGTCTCCTTACGACCGTCGCTCGGAAAACTAGCCGGTGCAGCCCCCGGAGGTGACGCTGCATACACGACTTGGACTGCAAATCCTCTGATTACTCCCGACCAGCGGTGCAACCTCCTAACAATTCTCGTTGATGATTTACCTATAACGGCTCTTATTGATACCGGTGCACAAATATCTGTGATGAGCTCAGACCTCCGCCGCCGCCTCAAAAAAGTTCTGACGCCTGCGATTGCACCTACCGTTCGTACCGCGGATGGGAGTACTCCTGCTGTGCTTGGAATGTGCACTGCGCGATTAACAATTTCTAAGCATCAAACTTCAGTTCTGTTCGCTGTACTGGAAAATTGCCCTCATGACCTAATCCTTGGACTCGACTTTCTGACTTCACACGCTGCGCTCATTGACTGTTCCAAAGGTCTTCTTCAGCTCGAACTACCATCCTTTTCGGAGACCGTCTCTACCAGCCCACCTCGTCTACGCTCTGTCGATTTCCTTAGACTTCCGCCGCAAGCCGCAGTCCAAGTCCAACTCTCGCCATATCCTGCAGTACCCGATGGTGATTATGTTGCTGCCCCGATTTCTGACGTGGCCATGACACGCAATGTTGCACTCCCCAACACGGTGGTTACCGTTAAGGACAACCGAACTTCGTTTCCCGTCCTCAATTTCGGCCTCTCAGCGCAAGTTATTCCTCGCGGCATGTCACTTGCGCATCTTACACCACTGGTCGACCACACAGTTTCCGCTCTAACCACCAATTCGCCACCCGATTTTTCATCAACGTCGTTCTCGTCACGTTCCTGTTCCGACCTTTTCAAGCCAATGCTATCTGACAAGCTCACCTCTGAACAAGTCTCTGCTTTCTGCCGTGTGCTTGCTCCTTATCAGGACATCTTTGACTTCGGCGACCGTAATTTGGGCCAGACATCTGTAGTAACCCATCGCATCGACACCGGTGACGCTCGACCCATTCGCCGACGACCCTACCGTGTGTCAGCCCCGGAGCGTGCTATTATACAGTGAGAAGTCGATAAAATGCTTGATAAGGGCATAATCGAACCCTCATCTAGTCCCTGGTCCTCACCCGTTGTACTTGTTAAAAAGAAGGACAATAGCTGGAGATTCTGTGTTGATTACCGCCATCTCAACCATATTACCAAGAAAGATGTCTATCCCCTACCGCGCATAGATGATGCACTCGATTGCTTGCACGGTGCCAAATATTTCTCTTCAATAGACCTTCGCACAGGCTACTGGCAGATCGCTGTGGACGACAAAGACAGAGAGAAGACGGCCTTCGTGACTCCTGATGGTCTTTATCAGTTCAAGATGATGCCTTTTGGATTATGCAATGCCCCCGCGACATTTGAGCGCATGATGGACTCTCTCCTTCGAGGCATGAAGTGGACCATCTGCCTCTGCTATCTTGACGACGTTATTGTTTTTTCGACTACTTTCGACGACCATCTTACCCGTCTGTCCGCAGTGCTTGATGTTTTTCGACGTGCCAACTTGCAACTTAACTCGTCCAAATGCCGCTTTGGGCAACGCCAAATTTGCGTACTCGGCCATCTTGTTAACGCTGCGGGCGTTCAACCAGACCCTGCGAAAGGCCGAGCAGTTCGCGACTTCCCCACACCCCGCTCAGTCAAGGACGTCCGAAGTTTTCTGGGACTGTGCTCCTATTTCCGTCGTTTTGTCGAGAAGTTCGCTGAAGTAGCCCGTCCTCTAACCTGCCTCCTCAAAACGGATGTCGCATTCACCTGGGGCCAACAGCAAGCAAACGCCTTCTCGTCGCTCGTCGACATTCTCACCAATCCACCAGTCCTAGCACACTTCGACCCATCTGCTGCTACGGAGCTTCGTACTGACGCCAGTGGCCACGGCATAGGCGCAGTGCTCGCGCAGCGGCAACAAGGAATGCACCGCGTCGTCGCGTATGCAAGCCGTCTGTTGTCGCGCTCGGAACAAAATTATTCCATCACAGAACGCGAGTGCTTAGCTCTCGTCTGGGCCATTGCGAAATTCCGACCGTACCTGTATGGCCGACCATTCTCAGTTATTACGGACCACCATGCGCTTTGCTGGCTCTCCTCGCTCAAGGACCCTACGGGACGCCTTGGTCGCTGGGCGCTGCGCTTACAAGAGTACACTTTTTCCGTATCCTATAAATCCGGACAACTTCACAAGGATGCCGACTGCTTGTCCCGTTACCCAGTCGATCCCCCTGACACGAGGGAAGATGAGCAAGAGGCCCTCGTTCTTTCAATTACCGACTTCACCGACATAGCTGCTGAACAACGCCGCGACCCCTCTTTGCGTGCTATTATCAATGGTCTGCACTCTCCCCACCCTGACCACTCCTTACAACTGTTCGTTCTTCACAACGACATCTTGCACCGCTACAACACCCGCCCTGATGGTGCTGAGCTTTTACTCGTTGTTCCTGTGCATCTTCGCTCAGACGTTTTGGCCCAGCTGCATGATGCCCCCTCCGCTGGACACCTAGGGGTGTCACGCACGTATGACCGCATTCGCCGCCGATTCTTTTGGCCTGGCCTCTACCGTTCTGTGCGACAGTACGTTGCGGCATGCGACCTCTGCCAGCGCCGCAAGACACCTGCTCTGAGACCTGCTGGTACCCTCCAGCCCATTGAAGTACCAGATGAGCCATTTTTCCGAGTCGGCCTCGATCTTCTAGGACCCTTTCCCGTGTCGGCCACCGGTAATAAGTGGATTGTTATTGCTACCGACTACGCAACGCGGTATGCCGTTACACGCGCCCTCCCCACCAGCTGCGCTACTGATGTAGCCGATTTCCTTCTTCATGACATCATTCTGCGTCATGGTGCTCCTCGTCAGTTGATCACCGACCGCGGCAGCTGTTTTCTATCTAAAGTAGTCGACGAGCTCCTGCGATCCTGCTCTACCCACCACAAGTTCACTACAGCGTATCATCCGCAAACCAATGGCCTCACGGAACGCCTCAACCGTACCTTGACGAATATGTTAGCGATGTACGTTTCCAAGGATCACAAAGATTGGGACATCAACTTACCTTTCGTTACCTTCGCATACAACAGTTCACGTCATGATACAGCTGGATTTTCCCCTTTTTACCTACTGTTCGGTTATGACCCGCCTTTGCCCATGGACACCATGCTCCAATCTGACGCCGCCTCATCGACTGCTTGTGCTCGTGATGCCCTGGCCCGAGCTGACATCGCCCGCCAAGTCGCCCGGGATCGTTTATGTGCCTCGCAGCTTAACCAAAAGAGTGCTTACGATCGCCGGCACCGCGACGTACAGTACTCTCCGGGGTCACTCGTCTTGCTGTGGTTACCATCACGTCGTGTTGGTCTCAGCGAAAAACTGATGTCTCGTTACGTTGGCCCCTACCGCGTCATACGCAAGGTCACCAGCGTGACCTATGAGATAGCTCCACTCCATACCACGTCAGTACCAGCTTCAGTCCCGACCGATATAGTGCACGTCTCACGGCTTAAGCCATACTTCTCACGCCCCGAGAATTGATCGCACCGGGACGGTGCTTCTGCCGCCGGCGGGTAATGTCACGGGCTAAGTAGATGCCTGAGGATGACGACGACGAAGTGCTGAACGGGAACGTGCTCGGACTGCAGCAGCGTCGTACGCATTAGCTCGCCAGTATATTCGCCAGTACACATTTGTTCATCAGTGTATACTTTATTCCCCGTAACAATATCACTCATTAGAAGAGTACAACTTGCTTGCAGGTGTCTGGAATGCCTGCTGTTATTGGCTGTATAGATGGATCGTATGTCAAGATACAGTGCCCAGCCAACAAGGTTGCGTCCACATACTGCAACAGGCACCATTACCTTTCACTAACGCTGCAAGCCGTCTGTGACCACAAGAGGCGCTTCCTCGATGCGTTCACTGGAACCTCCAGCAAAATGCATGATTCTCAATGTTTAGCTTATCGCCTCTTTCAAAGAACATAGCTTCAGTATGTCAGGGCCGTTATCATATATTAGGGGACGCAGTATATCCGCTGCGGGAGTACCTGTTGACACCATACAGGGATTACGGTGCAATGAATAAGCAACAAAAAAGCTTCAATTTTAAGTTTTCAGGCACACGAGTGCTCATTGAAAATGCATTCAGCACACTCAAGAAGCGCTTCAGGCAGCTCATGTACCTGGAGTTGCGCACTATCCACTGGCTCAATAAGTTTATTATAAGCTGCTGTATCCTTCATAACTTGTGCATCGATTACGGTGATGAAGAGCCAGATGATGATAATGATGATGATGGAGCACCCAATGCTATTCAGTGGGAGAACTGCACAGATAACCACAGTGATAAAACTGATGAGGAGCGAGCTTTGCACAAGCTTGGCGAAATTAAGCGTGCAAAGGTATTGACCAAGCTCCTGCAAAGTGATTGTGGGAAATAACACCATAATTCTCTGTTTTGTCTGAACTGGCCCTTTAGTTCCCCACAGTAGTTTGGAGGCTGTGTGTGTACACCAATGCGCAGCCCCCTTTATATACACAAACACATGTTTTGCACTGCACATTTTATTTCAACTAGCTAATAGTATTTTAGTCCACTGAAATTATTCATTGTCTAGGCCAAGAAATCGGCTCAAAAGCTTCATTTTTCTTCGTGTTGTTTTGCTTTTTCTTGCCGAATGCGCTCCTTCTGCTCTTGCCTCTCTTGATGACGCTTCCTTCTTTCATTCTCGCGTTCAGTTCGTTTTTTTTCTTTTTCTTCCTGAATTTTCCTCATTTCATCAAAGAAGTGATTCATTTCCAGTAATCTAGAAGCCGAGGGTTTCGGCTTTTTGGGCTCAGGCTCCTTCGTTGTGCTGGTAGACTCCTGGCTAGTTGAACCTTGGCTTGTCAGCTCCTGGCTCCCTGATGCTTGGCTCGTCGACGCTTGTCTGGGTGGTCTTTTTATGGAGACTATTCCAGAGCTGTCCCTGAGCTCTTCTGGCTGAAGGCTGTCATCTAGCCAGCGTATTCTGGCAATGTCATCATCAAAAGGAACGTCGCAAGGAGAATTCCCCGATTTGCTGTTATGTGCTGCAGCGCTTCTTTTTCGTCGCATGACTGTTTTGTAGCGGCTGCAGCACTGGTCACCTGTTTTAGGGACCCCGACAGCCTCTGTAATGTCGGCCGCTATTTTGGCAAACATTGCCTTTTATTTTAAATTTTTTCATCGGCCCTATTTGGGAAAAATACTGCTGGTAGTACTCGAGCAACAGCTTTGTTTCTCCCGCCGTCCACTCACAGCCTGTACCTGAAAAAAAAAGTGCTTGAGACATTTGTACAGATGTTACCAGTTGCACGTCACCCGACACAGTTGTTAGAGAGTTGTGGTATTCTGCTGTGTTGGTATTAATGTAGAGCTTATAGGCATATATAAGCACCAACCTGTTTTAGTTTGTCTTGATATCAATTTTTCTACTTTGATTTTTGTCGTTACAGTGCTTGGTGTTCTTTGCACTGATCTAACTGTATATATCATGTATAATTCATTACTTGAATGCATTTGTATCCTCTCCTGCTAGGGCCTCTAAATGGGCCTGCAGTTTTCTCTAAATAAATAAATAAATGGACTCACTGCGTTGCTCGCTCATTTGGCTGTGTTCTGGCACTGTGAATGGAAAAACCAAATGCATTGTTATTCATACAGCTGGTATACATGAAGCGACATAACAACCGATTTGTGTTCTGTGACACAAATTGCTGTACATTGAAGCACCATGTGAATTTCATGCAACTATGTATGCACTTAAGCTAAGCCATGTGAGGCTTCCTAACACAGCTTCACAAAACAGTAACTCTATGTTTGCTATGCTATCTCATCACGACACAAAATTTTGAATAACAATTTCACGTAAGCATACATGGTGGCATGCAAGTTCTTCAACAATAGCTCAACACATTGTGCACATTCTTGATTGAATTACACACTCTCATCATGATGCACAGAGTTTCTGATCAGCTGACTGTTCATCAAAATGAAGCAGGATCTTTCAGGCCTGAAACAGGCAGTGACACTCCAGGAAAAGCAACGTAATTTCTGTGGACTGAGACCGATTCCCAATTTGGATGTGCTCAATGTCCTGAACTTGGTAACATTGCCAACCCATTAGATAGCAGAACATGCACACACGCTGCTACCTCTGCAGCTAAAATTTCCTGGGGGTTACTTTGAAGGTATCTCGCCGCAAATGCGTACCTGCCAACCTAGAGACATCTGAAATCGGGAGATTCGCCGCGGGAGCGGAGTAGGGGGCAGAAAACAATTGTTTTGGACGATCGGTCCAATTGCCCTTATACCAAACACGCTTGTCACCAACGCGGTTCGTTTCTATTCGTGTGGCTACATTCTAAAGTGATAGGAAGTCGCTTCTTACTAATGACGCCGTTCCGTGCAAGAACAGCGGCGTCACGCGCACGTTTACTTTTTGCTGTATATTTACAGCGGTGTTTGTGCAATCAATGCGGTGAAGGTTTTCGTTCTCTACGGACACAGGCAAACGAACAACGGTATGACGCATGCGATGCGTTTCAGTGACATGATCGCATCAGCAGTAGAGCAACGTTGCAACATGAACATAGCGCGTGCAGACAATCGCTCCACCCAACACGTGTGTTGCATTCAACTTACAATTACAGCACAGTGTTGAAATTGAGGAGACACTTACCATGTTGCTCCGCATACTGTGTGGTCACCATCGCAGACATCGTGGACAATGGCTGCTGCACGCTTGGCGTGATATCCATTTCACACAGGTGAATAGCGCTGAACAAGCAAACGAACGATGCGGCGATGCTGGTAAGCCACGTGGTAAACAGACAGCGGAAAAGACCACGCGCAAGGTATCCTGGGTAACGCGGCAGCTTCCGCCTTGCTCCAGCAGGGCGGGTTGTGTTCCGATGGCGGATTTGGAGGATTTGCTCTACGCCAGAGTCGAGTGCTCCCTCGCGGAGTCAGTCGGCTGCACCCACTCCGCCATTGGAATTCAACATATTTGTCTTACGGACTGTCTGCTGTTACCATTTTTAGGGGCCTGTCACCTCGATAAGCTGCTCATGGCAGCAACTTTTTGTGAGAGCTCTTATATCTTTCTTTATTTGAAAGGCAAGTATTATTATTATTATTATTATTATTATTATTATTATTATTATTATTATTATTATTCGGGAGGGGTCTTTTGAAGAAAAACGAAAGAAGTGCGAAGGGTCCCGATTTCTTTTTTTTTCAGCATTTACTACCACAAGAAGGGGGGACAGGGCAAACAGATAAACACACGATTTGATGGAGGGGTTTACGGAAAGACGGCGCTTACCGCTGCTCCTCTCGATCCGCCACTGGTTACAACCTAGGAATAAATACAAACTCCCGAACTCCACCCCAGCGTTGACGTGTGGCAGTCATTCGTCTGAGCGATATGGACTGATCTGTGCATTCATCTGCGTATTCATCTGTGTACTTTCTGCTCTCTGTTCTAACCGTGAGCATTTTTCGCTGCCATTTTAGGCCTTCACTGCCACTCCGGCCTTGAGTTAACGTCCTGGACGCATGGTCATCAGCATCGACCACTTCTGCATTTATAAAAAAAACTGAACTCTTTCTTTCTATTCAATTAATACCGTAGGGGATACGGGTGCCAATAAAAAGAAACGTTTGCTGTTTAGAAAAAGTTTATTCTTTCATGGGACGCAACAAACCTAAGAGACAAGCGTCTGTATAACAGGCACAGTAACAAACAAAAGACAAAGCACAACATACACTACACATTTAAACTAAAGTGTCCAAGTCCGTAGGATGTCCATAGTCCGTTGTACTAATAACTGTACATATACTACGTAAATGCACTAATCACAATATGGACAATGTACATGATGATATATGTACAGAATTTACAAGACTTGGTGAAGATGTTAGAAAATATGTACAACAGGTATCAATATTAATAAAGGTTACATAACTTACAGTGTTAGAATGAAGTGAATATGTAGGAGAGCTCACACCCATATTGAACACGCACAAACACATAAAAATAGTAAGCACAAGCTATTAAATAAAACTTGGTCCCCCTGATTAAAGTTTGAAACAAATATTTCAGACATTCCTGCAGACAGCATCCATACCCTCTCTAAAGGCAATGGCTACCCGCACTCCTTGAACCCTTGCCATAAGAAGCGTTTAGCCATATAGGTGAAGCGACAACTTTCACAATGACACTCGAACGAGCCGGTGCCGTTTTCTTAACCCCCCACGGCCAGTCGCGGCTCGCCAATGCTGTCTTTTCTGTCTCTCCTTTTTCTTTCTCCTTCATACGCAAACGCACACACACGCCAGCTCGTACGTTTCCGTTTCTCAAAAAAGCATCGTGCGTCCCGTTCCCCCGCCTCTGGTGTCGCCCTCCCCCCCACCAACCTTCCCCCCGAACGACAGAGGCTCAGCACAAGTGGTAGAGACCTCTTGTGAATGCGCTACTGTTGATGCTTCTTGCTCTTACTTCTAAGCTCCTCTACCACGGTGCCCCGTTGAGGCAAGAATAGAAGACACTGGCACACAAAGGCACACCTTCGCTATACTGGGGTCCATCTCGAAAAGGGAAAGAGAGTAAGCAAATATTGCGTGGGAGAAGAGAGAAAAGCAAGCGAGCTCACTCAGCGGACGCATTCATAGAAAGGCAGTGACGGCTGCCACGAGGTTATAACCCCGTCCGTATGGAATGGGAGTAGAGTATGCAGGTGTGTTCCTTTGCCGCAGCAGTTGCGTGCAGTGCGGAGAAGAGTAGCCGAGCCAGCCAGACGAGAAAGCGAAGGCCAGGCGTTTCACACAACAGGTCTTTCGGGATTGAAAACTGGTGCGAAGTAACGACGGCTGATTTCCAGCTGACACTCTCACTTCTGGTTTCCGGGTTATTTAACCTCAATACTTATATTATTCGCATTGTATGTGCACTTTCACAGAGAAATGGTCGAAATGGAACAAAACAAAACAGAATAACATTAGAGCTACGTCGGGATGGCAGTCTTACAGTTAACCATTTGTCCATTTCGTTAGGCTTACTCTCCTCCAGCATTACGTAGGCTTCATCAAGTGACCCGCTCTATCGATGAGCTGTTTCAATCGCCATCCTTACACCTGCTTCACCGCCCGATGCCACGTTTCAATCAACTGCTTGAATCACCCACCCAATGCAAGCTTCATCACGCCACCCCTTTTCTAGGACCGTGTACTCAGATTTGGGTGCACGTTAAAGAACCCCAGGTGGTCGATATTTCCGGAGCCCTCCACTACGGCGTCTCTCATAATCATATAGTGGTTTTGGGACGTTAAACCCCACATATCAATCAATCACCCCTTTTCATTCGCACCTCTCGTCGGATCTCCTTCTCTCCATCCTGGTCATGTGTCCTCATATAGCATGACCATGCCCCAATAATACCGACGACGCAGGGTCCGAATAAACAGCTTCGCTCTGAATGTGTACCGCTGTAACGGCGGAAATGGCTGATCATAGCTTGGGATGGCGCGAAAAACACAGCACACAGGAAAAGGGAGGACGCGCTATGACGGGCTCTTTTTTTTTTTTTTCGTGCGCTGCATTTCTCCCGCCACCCTCAAAGTCATCAACAACCAGCACCAACTTGCCAAACTTACTTTAGAGAGATCGACTGAGCGCACAAATGCCCTGGCAAAAGTAGTGCTGGCCCATAGTGGACGACAGAAATGGAAGACGAGCGCTCGTCCGTCGTAAGCTGCTTATACCCAAGTTGCTGGTAGGCTGTGTATGAATGGATTACGATGAACTGGGAGGTGAACTGGCCATTCCCGTTCTACCCATGTATTACGTGTTCTGACACAACCTCCTTATTTTTTAACTCCCGCTTATCGGCAGTGCACATGCTATCTTCCTAACGAGTTGGCTTGTATAAGCGTTGTACTCTCCACGTCAAATGAAACCCAAACAGTGACAAGCCTTCGCGATAGCATAGTGAGCGCCCTTCCGCTTATCACCACGGATAGGCGCACGCATCCTACACTCTAAAAAAAATATCGAGTAAAAAGGGTGTCTTTTTGTCCCACAACAATAATCGTCATCAGGCTTGCGTGCGCTTCCTTTCTTGAAAACTCGGTGCTGGCCACTTCCTTATCGAGAATGCAATGTAACCCTGATAATGGGCATGTCGATCGTGACCGGGATGTACCGGGCGCGGGGCGATAGCGCAAGGATGGAACGCAATATAGATGACGATTATTGTTGTGGGACAAAAAGAGACCCTTTTTACTCGCTCTTCTTTTAGAGTGTATACGGCAGGTGTGCGTATCTATGCGTGCCTGTCCATCCTCATAAGAGGATGTCACGCACTATACTGTTGTGAAGGCTTGCCACTGTTTGGGTTTCATTTGAAGCGGATAGTACATATAAGAAGGCCACACCACACAGACGTAAAGAGACTTGTATAGACGCTACACGTCTTCTGACGTGTTTTATTGTCGCGCTAATACAAGCTAAGTTCATGCATGACAAACTCTGCCGAGCTTCAACACTTACTAACGAAAACTTTCCCCGCATTTTCAGCCATCGGGTGAACGCACTAAGGTAGAGCTCACATATCCTTTTTGTTTTGTTTTTGCGTGATCGACATTTTGAAGTCAAAACCAAAATTTGAAGTTCAAGTCCAAATTAAAAAGTGACAGGAACAAATGCTTTGCTAGCACTTGCATACGAACCTGCTCATTCAGCACAGGAAAAAAAGAAACAGGGACTACGATAAGAAGAGACAAGACCATGAATCACATATCGATCATGCTGCTAATTTGCACACGAAACTACGGAGTACACTATGCGTTATGTCGGTGTGCATTGATCAACAAAACTTGTTCAGCGGTATACTTGTTTTCTTGTTGGCTGACATCAACTACAGCTATTATGTCTTCATTTAGGCACTGCACTAAGCTGGTGCAATTTAACAGTGCTCAGCCACTGAAGTGGTATAATTGACCTGCATGGCTGCTCGCGTTTTTTTTTTTTTTGAGTCAATGGTAAATACTGAGTTTTCGGCCAGGAGTCGACTGTTGTCAAAGTGATGGAGCAAGGCTTTTACTGCGAAGATGGATAGTCAACTTTGTGCTGTCGTCTTCATAGTAGTAGTGTAATTATTATTATTACTATCATTATTATTCTCTTAATATTATTATTATTATTATTATTATTATTATTATTATTATTATTATTATTATTATTATTATTATTATTATTATTATTATTATTATTATTATTATTATTATTATTATATTTGAAATAGGAATAGGACTATTAGTAGTGGAGTAGGAGGAGTGGTAGGCACCACTCAAGTCACGTGACTTGAATGGGGAAGTGAATAGAGAAATAAATGCAACGCATTAACGAAGATGATGCTCGATATTTGACTACCATGATAATGATTATGTTTACCAATAAATGAGACGAAACAATGATCACGCTGTAAATTAAGCTTATGATAATACACGAGGTAAGGAATTCGCATGTTTACGAATGACATTAATCAGAGACCTACAGCAATTGTAAATAACCACTCACACACTTGCAGAATCGCTGCCGGCCGTCCGTCCATCCGTCTATCTATCTATCTATCTATCTATCTATCTATCTATCTATCTATCTATCTATCTATCTATCTATCTATCTATCTATCTATCTATCTATCTATCTATCTATCTATCCACT